AAATTCAAACTTTTCTATTAAACCATTAAAGCTTTTTCTGTCATTATTCCCACACTTACAAATCTCTCTCTCTCTCTCTCTCTCTCTCTCTCTCTCTCTCTCTTTCTCTCTCCGGATAGATGTAGTATTTGTATTTTTATTTAATTAGTAGATTAGTATTTTTTCGACTAGTCGATCAACAACCAACAGGGGGTCGATAGTTCCGTAGTTCTACACGGGACTAAATATCTTTGCGATTTGACCCATCCACTGTTCCTGTTACATCCGTTACGCGAAATTACCCTAATTTTATCAATCCAGATGTCCTAATAATTTATAAATATATATTTTAGTTAATATTATATCTTATTGGATATGCATATTGATTTTTCACTTTCTTTAACTATGTAAATATTTCTCTGTGTAGAAACTAACCGGGTTTCGAATTCATCCTCGGTACCCCATGCCTCTCGAAAGAGTCGACTAATGTATAATACTAATGACTTGTAAATTTGTTAGGTAGGTCCCTTCCATAGGACCCACCTTGACGTGGTGAGGGAGCTCATGGATCATTGTTGTGATCCTTGCTAAGAGGTTCCGTTATACATCTAGCTTGTACTTTTAAGTGTTTAACCATGTATTAATATGGTTTCTTATACTTAAATGTAAATATGAAATTAATGAAAACGTAGGAAAATCAAATTCGCATTATGATAAAAATAACTAAAATTATACTTCATAAAATTATTTTTCAATTTTTACTATTCGAGTGCTCAAACAGTTATTTATTTCTATTTTCTATTTAAGAGATTCATATACATTTCAGAAAGTTTAATCTTTCCTCTGGTAAAATTATTTTATACTGAAACTTTGTTTAATAATAGACTGTTGTTTTCTTTGTTGTAATCTTTTGTTAAACTTTTGATCTCTTTTACTTTGGCCAGTACATTTTTTTTCTCGTCTGTTGTTGTATTATTTACTATTATTACAATATTTTGTTACCATTGGTCTGTATTGTTGTCCTATTCTTATTTAATGTTCGTCTTTTTTGAATTATTACTGTCTCTATAATTGAGTTTGTTTTACCTGAAGGAGGTTTGTCTATTAATGAGAATTATGTAAACGTTTTCAAGTGAAAATTTGGAAATCAAAGTTGGTTTCATCGAGATAAAAAAATAAATCAATTAATTGCATTGATTAATTAATTAATTACATAATTAATTAATTGCATTGATTAATTAATTAATTACACAATTAATTAATTAATTGCATTAATTAATTAATTAATTACACAATTAATTAATTGAGTCTGGAAAGACTCATTCGCAATCAAGTCCACGGTCTTTGCTTGTCCATCGCGAAAGCCCGTGGCTGGCGGCCCCGCTCATTATATTCAGTTTAAATTAGTCCACATGGGATTTCATTTCTAAATTGAATATCAATTGCCACAGTGTCAATAATCAATCAATTAATACCCATTTTTTGAAATATTCACTATTGATATGTATATTAGAGAATATGAAAACGAGAAAAACATTTTGTAAATGAAATACTCCCAGTAAATATAATACTTCCATCATGATATTAAAGGAGACTAGAACCTAGACCAAATCTAACCTTAGCGCATAGAATACAAGCGGTATAAACAACATTATTTATATTTCGTAATAATTAATTTCAAAGTTAACACATTATCTCAAATCACAATAATGGATATTGTTTAATTTAATTATTGAATTGTTATCTGTACACATATAAAAGTTTATTTTATGTGATATTGCAAAGATTGAACAAGAATCATTTGATCTATGGAAAATTGTTTAACTTTTAATTTCACTTATGTCCCTTTACTACAAATGCACAATATTTTATTATTCCTTTGACGTAAAGAGATATAAGTGAAACAAAAATAAAAACTTAAGACTTCAGGTAATAAAATGTATAAAAATGTAAAATATATTAATATTAAAATAATCACAATATTTATATGTCAGTCGTGACCATAGTTTAACAAAATACCTTTTTTTTTAATTTTATACTAATAATAATAGGTTTTGCTCGGTAGATTATCAATACCATCATCATAGTTGTCTGTAAAAATTAAATAATAACAATATTTTAGTAAATACATTACTTGTGATTATTATTATTATTAACATTATGAAAAAGTCTCATAATTAATTAATATGGAATGAACAGTAAGATATGATATACAATGGAAAATTAGAATACAATGTTATTTTATGAATAATTTTACTGAATGACTATCATTATTATTACTATTATTATCTGGCATATAGTCCTTGTCTGCATCACTATCATCTGCACTAAGCAAATGTACATCATCTACAATTAAAATTATTAAACATTTTATTTGACTCCAGAACATTGTAGTCTATACTTATTTTATTATTGAAATTAATAGTTCCAATCACTTACCATCACTCATATTGTCAAGTTCTTCAAATTTCATGCTAACTTGCGAAATATTAAAATCAGTATGATTACTATTTTTTTACTGCTAATCAACTGCTAATTATATTAAAATTTATATTTTATATTATATTATAATCATACTATTAACCTAAATATTAATGATAATAACCGTAGATCATTGTATAACACGGTTTAAGATATCTTAAACCATGTTGCATAATAATAGTAAAAACACGTTTTGGCTGTAAAGGAATTTAAATGCGTTAACAGCTGTTATGGTTTGGTGGAAAAAAGATATAGGTGCGCGTGTACCCATTTCCTTCTAATCTAGATATAATTTTTGTTTGGAGGATAAGTGATTTGTTGTTAAATCACAGCACATATGAAATAATTAACCTATATCTCTTTACCATCAAATAAAACAAAAAATTCATATTTTAGCTGTTCACTTACCTCAGATTATATAACTTATACTCCTTGTGTTTTAGGTGCTTCATTTTTAATCACTTGTCGCTCTAAATCATTTGATTTAAAAAGTTTTTCACAAATAATAAATTATTTTTAAGTTTTATCCCGAGATTAACTTCTCATTGGGCTTTAAGTTCATCATTTTGGGAGAAAAAACCTACAAATAACCGTTACCAACAAATCACCTTAATAAAGTTTTGTTTAAGGCACCAAATAAAATAGTGGAGAAAAACTCAATTAAAATGTCCTCTCTAAGCGACCGAATATATTAACGTTTTAAACAGGGAAGTGCACCGACCTTATCTTCCAATACCGTGATGGTGTGTATCGATGCTTAGCTGATATATTAATTATATTAGTAAATTATAAATAATGCCTTTAATATAAATCATTTTAATTTACAATCATTTATTTATATCGAGTATCACTTCTCAGCACGGTCAACAGTAATCTCACTTAAATAAGATTTGTAATAATTGGTAATTTTCAACTATATCAGTGTGTGCCGTTAGTTCAACCGTAAAGGTGATGATGTCTTTAGGAATATTCCAAATAAAATACTTAAACCAACTTAAACTGTTTATTGAAATATTTCTAAGTACAAATTATTTAATTAAATTAACAAATAAACTGGCGTAGAGGTGCTCGTTAAAACACGTCTTAAACACATCTGAATATTGGTCTATTCGGGACTCCCTTATATACCCCGCTTCTCATAGTTTATCCGGACCTAGTGAATGCTAAATCACTTGTCATATGTGTTTCATCTTGTCATTTTAGGTTGATGCTACTTGTATTTTGTGCGCCCAACCCAATATTATCTATGTAATCAGTTGACCTCGTGAATTCCGCATTTTGCATATATCCTACTGATGCTTGTCTATAATAGTTGTTTTTAATATTTATTATGTACTAATTGTCTTCTCTACAATATAACTCGTAAAGACCTACATCTTCGTAATATATCATACTGATGCCTATTTATAATAGTTATTCTTAATATAACACCTTGGAATGTAGCCATACGATGTATATAATATGTATTTGCGTTACCCTCTGTTTTAAACTAATAGTTCCTTTCTATTGTTGCGAATATTATATTATTTATAATTATTTCCTGATCTGTACTATTTACGATTTATGTGGTCCCTCCCATGAAGTAAAAGTCGTAAGGACCTACATCTATGTATGTCCGTAACATCAGGTATAGTGTGGAAACTGAATTCGGCTATAAATAAGATTGACTAACATGATTGTCGTGAATTTGGCATTGTGGACCACATGGTTGATATGGTGATAGTAGAATATTACCTTTACTTTCAATAGTTAACAGAGTTAACACGTGTCATTATTATTGTTACCTATATTAAATACTGTTATTTCCATCAGAAAAGATTAAGGATGGGAAAGTAAATGATGTTTTTAAACTTAATTAAGTTAATTGAGTTAATGTTCAATTAAGTTAACAATTAAGTTAATGCACATGAGAATTATATCAATTCAGTTAAAAATTAAGTTAAAAATTATCGTTAACTAAACTTAAATTCAATTAATAATACAATGGATAGGTTAATCAAAATACCTATTGATTCTCAATAAAAGAGTCATCTCAAAATGTTGATTACCTATTAAATATTTTTTCTTATACAATAATATTTAGTAATATTTATTTAATTTAATAATATCATAGATTATGGAATAATTTTAATCATTATAGAGTACAATTATTATTAAGAATTATTTAGTCAATGATAATACATACCTATTTTTGTAATATAGATTTACGGCCACTTTTCACGAGAACGTTGGGACCACATCAATAGTTAATTCCGAAATAAATATTATGGTGTCATCTAAAAATTCTTCAAAATTTTTATTTTTATATTTTTTTAAATTCCATGAACTTATTATCGAATACGATATTTTACAAAAATCATTTTTAGGTTTCGAAAATCAAAATTAACTTGATTGGGATAAATGAAAAAATAATACGTTAATTTCAAGTTAATTTGTAAGGAAATTAGTGAAGTTAATAAGTTAAATTAATTTATCAATAATGAAATTAATTAAGTTATTTTTTTAATTTAACTTAACTTTTAACTTATTAACACGTTAAGGTCCGGGCTTGGAGAAGATGATCAGAAAAAAACATTTGCTTATAAAATCAATTTGGATAATTTAAGTTTAATAAAGAATGTGTGGAAAATCGATAAACAATTAATAGTCGTGACCCATGGATATATCTCGATGTATGACGACCAGGGAGCATATTCCATAAAAAATAGTAAGTTTTATGGAAAAATTTTAGTTTAATATAATATTATGATCGATATTTAAAATTTAGTGATCAATTACCAAACAGGTGAGTAGTTACTAAAATTATGTTTTTAATTCGAAACATTTCAATTAGAATTAGACAGACGCAACTACAGTACAATTATGATGGAACTAAAATTATATTATGCTTACCAAATCCCTAAATACCAAACCTTAATTCACAGTATTTGATCAAGAATAATACATTTTCCACATTTATTATCAGGCTTCTGGAGATTTTTAATTGCAATTGAAAGTCAAACATTTCAATATTTTTTTGTGATTTTATATTTTGAGTAAACAAGAAAGGTATTGGGATAATCATAAAAATATATTTCTTTTTATTTATTACAAAAGGTTTTTGATTGGACATTTTATCAAGTTGGAATTTCGGAGAAAAATGATTGAAAAATTCCCTAAATTTTTCTTAATAATTTCATAAACTCGACTAAAAGTGAAATATAAAAATTGTCAACATTTAACGCATAACCGTTTTCGACCAAATTGAATTTTTATTACATCGCAACTCGAAAAATAATAATAACATAGTCTTAAAGTTTTCATTTAATTATTTAAATATTGTTTACTATTAATGGTATGATTTCCAAAGAATTTAAACAATATTAGGCTTTTTATAAACATTTAAAAATAATTATAATATGCAATATATAAATTACGAAACTCACCAAAAAAAATTATCCATTTAACCCCATAATAAAATACACCATTATGCAAACACAATAATTAATCAAACTTGAAAAACGAAATTAAAATAACATGATGATAAAGTCTACAAATAGTATAATGTGAGTAAAAATGATTTAAACCTGTATTTAATTTCTTTGAGCATTTCTTTGCACTTTCATTGCAGTTAAGACTCTCCAGATACCTGATAAAAAATGTGCAACATTTATTATCGTTGCTGCGGTAAGCACAATTTTTGTACCTTCATAATTAGACTCTAGTTGCGTCTGTCTTATTCTAATTGATAAGTTTGGAATTAAAAATATAATTTTAGTAACTACTCACCTTATATCATAGTTTGGTTATTGAACACAATATTTCCGTGAAGTCGAGTAGTAATAAATAATAAAATAATATATATCATAATACAGATTTTCATTTAAGAAGATTAAATGATTATTTATAAATTTTAATGGGTTATCATGTATTCTATGTCTTAGTATTGAAAATTCCCTTGCCCTAGCTTACGCATTCAACTACCCGGATCAGTATAACATCATAACGTTGGGCTGGATTGTAGAATACCATCAATTCTTAGATGTACTCAGAGATTGTGAACATGTAGGACATGCATTAAGTCATTTTTTGATCAAATTAGTTAAATTGAAGCTTATTATGCCTTCTAATATACACATGATAGGACATAATCTTGGTGCTCATGTTCTTGGTGCATGTGGAGCTAATTTTTATGAGTTGACGGATATGAAAATCGGTAGAATCACAGGTGTGTAAAATAAAGTCAAAATTAACGTTATTTATTATTGAAAATATTAGGTACTTATGAGAAAATCAACAACCTTACTTCTGTGCAGGTCTAAACCCGAAAGGACCCATTTCTATATATCCATGGGAAAAATGGAATTATTTAAAAAAAACATTGCAGAAGGATGATGCGGAATTTGTGGATCTGATCCATACGGCAAAAGCTAAAATATTTCCTAGTACAACCGGACACGTTGTATTTTATCCGAACGGAGGAAAGACTTGTCAGCCAGGATGTGAATACGAGATTGATGATTATAATTATGATCTTTTGAATAAAAAAAAAATTTCAGAATGTAAGTTACAATAGTGAAATTAAGACACAAATTTATGTAATATCTGATTGTAAGATTTGTATCACTTAATGGCTTGTAAAAATTTCGTGATTAATTATAATTCGAATATTACGATGTTACAATTTACAATACTAATTTTAATAGTTCAAATACATTTATGAATATCACCAGTGGCCGCTCGTGCCTTCGATGACTAATATAACAGTTGAATAAATTTTATTATTTTATTATATTTGTAATTGATAATTGAAAATACCAACTATTTCTATTCAACTATTTCATAGCAGTTATTGTTCATATAAAGAATTTTATTCAATTTTAATTGCTATATATTTATTGATTATTATTTATTATAATTGACTGGCATTAGTTCGAATATAAATAACCAAACATCATATTTATAACATAATATTTGAATAAATACATTTGAACATCAATTGCAAATCTGTATATATAAAAATTTCGTGTCACGATGTATGTTCGCGATAATCTCCGAAACTACTGGACCGATTTTAATGAAATTTTTTACACCGTGTGTAATTTGGTCCAACTTAAAATATAGGATAGTTTTTTTTCAAATTTGTTAATATTTTAAATATTTTAATTAACTTTTTAATAAATGTGTATAATTGCATGGTGTATTTCGGGTTTTCCCGTGACCGACCGCAAGTATCTATATAGCTACCTGTAATCTGACCTTTTTTCTATTGTGTGTGTGTTTATCGTCGTCGGCGTGTAGATATGAATTGTTCCGAGAATTATATAACTTACCTAACCTATGGTTTTTATCTCAATATTATTTTTTTGCATTGCAATTGTTGTAATGAAGAAAGTTATAGAATTTTCGAGAAATGTTCAAAGGTATAAAATGCGAAGTTCGGTACGACGTAAATTCAGAAAATATATATGTTGGTTTGTACTTAATTTCAACATTTAGATACTTTACCTATTACTTTTAAATTTTCTCATACATAATAACACTAATACATGGCCTACGAAAATGCCAAAAAACCAACTAATACGCGGGCAACGCCGTGTCGGGACAGCTAGTAGATATATAAAAAAAGTAGGACAAAAATAAATTTAAATATTTATACCAATTTTAATATTATTTTTCTTTCTTCTGTTTCGCTTCCAAAATAGAAGTAAGATTCTTAATCTGCATGCTTCTGGAATGTTTTGGATCAACTAGTTCCGGTAAAAGACAGTCGTAGAAAAAATTTTGCAGCTTCGGAAACATATTATTTTCTCAAAATTGATCATCTTTTTCAATATTTTCGTACTTCGTATATTATTTTGTCCAATATGCTATTATTCCAAATGTTTAGCCTGTCATATGTAACTGTCCTTGGATTTGGTAATAGTATTTATGATGAGTATGATGAGTATTTATTCTTATAATATATTTTCTTTATTTATTTTCCATAGATTAACTTTTCTTTGACATATTCCTTATTCATGCGTTATATTTGCAGCAGATATAAGGCATTTAATTTCAACCAATGTATTATTAACTATTAGTCCATCAGGTGTTGCTCCTAAGAAATGATTTTTAGTGTCTATAAATAAACCACATTCACTAATACTTACACCCAAAACAGTTTCCAATTGTAACTTTGCCTCTCGTTCATTTTCCCATCCATATTCCATTGCTTTACAGTTGATGTTTATTGAGTACAACATACATTTTACAACACTTTTACATCTTGTATGAGTTCGTAAACAAATTATGCGTTTAAAATTTGAAGCCGTAATAAGATACCTTCTATATTCCAACCATTTGCTTGATGCTGATTGTTCCACTGTTTCTGTCTTAATGACATCGCGGTTAGCTGCCATTTCTTTTAACAATTGAATAATATATTTTTTTTCATCATCAAATTACTCAATGGTCATTTCGGTTTTTGTGATTTTTCAACGTACGACGTAGTACGACGATTAGCGTAGTCGTTTTCGCATTCAATTGTTTTTGAAAAAACTCATGTTTTTTGTTTTAATTATAATAATTATAATAAGAATTAGACTAGTAGACGAAATTACATTCGATCATGCAATATGAATAATGATATACAAAATCCGAATATGCACAAGTGTGGATAAATTAAAAACAATAGTATCAAACGCATGTTGGATGATGACTGATTAAAATACGATATGGTTCGAAACGGTTCAACGATAAATTCGAATCGTCCTTTTCTCAAACAAGTTGTACAAAAATCTTTAAAATCTGAATATTTCATATCACCGGAACAGTGTTCCACATAAAAATATTTTAAATTAGTCTCATCTTGTTTGAATAATATTATAAAATTACTGTTATCACGTAAAAGTTGCTTCGGTACACGGGCGTAACATTGTGCTAAGTAGCATACATCGATTTTATTATGTCGACCACGTGAAAAATATGATCGTACGATAGATCGACTTTCGCAAATAATATCGTCAAAGATAAATACTGAATTAGGTAATGCTTTTCTAGAGGTATGACTATATTTGATTCAATAACCAAAACATTTTCATCACGATACCTCATCGTCGATAACTTATATTTTTCGGTGTCCAGAAAAAATTATTTTCTTATATTTTGTATCGAGTATGTTTGAAAATATGTAGCCCATCAATGAAAACATATGTTTTAAAAACTCGAGCGTAAGTTTTACATACCGTAAAGATGTCATTATTTGTACTGTTATGTTGAATTCGTCTGTCACATCTAGTCCTATTGTAATAACATTTTGGGCATTAAAGTCCAAAACGTATTAAGTTCTATCTATAAGTTCTGTAGGTGACGTTGGTGGAATATATGTATATGTTTTCGTGAATGTAGCTGCGTTGTCGACCATTGAACCGGCCATTATTTAGTATACTAGTTCACTTGGTGAAAAATGAAAAAAAAAAAAGACATTTACTAGTTACGGTGCACGGAGAGTGACTAATTCTAGATAACTCTTTTCACAGTGTTAATGATTTAATTTTATTACTGTAAAGGTAGGGGTTATCGAATAAGTCTCAACTGGCATGTATCATGTGCATTATTTTTATCGTAAATCTTAGGACGATGTTATGACTACGTATAAAAATTTTGTTTACATCAGGGTCGTTAATTACCATTTGTCTAGACAACATCATAATGTTATGACTATGTATAGACTATTCATCTTTTTATCAACATCATCATTTACTCGAAATTATTACGTTAGATTTCTATTACAAATAAATCTTAACGTATGTACAATATATTTAATTTCTCATTACCCGCTAAAATTATTTGTTATCAATATGTCATACCCTGATATATTTTTTTTAAATATATCTTATCATTTTACTATACTCGTTACATTTATTACCATCATTTCTATTTATCAACGCCATTATATAGAGAAAAAATTTGATAACGATAACGATAACGTTGTAGCAGTTATTGAGAGGGAGGGGGGGACCAGCAAGGACCAGCTATCTACTGTATACGTTAACGCTAATTGGGTAACAGGGGGAGGGGACGAGTCAGCGGCGGCGGCGGCGGCGGCGGAGGAGGACCAGTAAGGACCAGCCAAGAGAACAATGGATTTCCTTTGTCCCAGGATCTGCAAATATACTCTACTAATGTTGTTAATTGAATGAATTTTTTTTTCAGTGCGTTTGTCTAAAAAAAATTTTTATATATATATACACATTTCTGTGCAACAAAATTATGTAAAACCATTGATTAATAAATCAGCATTTTTTGATGATTTTCTTTCAGTGTTTTGCAGTGATGCAAGATCTTATGAATTCTACAAAGATTCGATAATCTATAAATCGGCTTTTGTTAGTGAATTATATAATCCAAAGACGAAAATATTAATAAAATATGAAAATAAACCTGTAAAATCCAACCGTATGGGTCATTATGTAAATAAAGAGTAAATATTATTTTGTTCGCATAACTTTTATGTATACTAAACTATAAAAATAAGAAAAACTGATTTTTACGAGTGTGAGGATGAGATTGTTAATTAAAAATTTAACGGTATAACATTTTTTTTTACAGAAAGCATGGTAATTTTTATTTAAATACGGAGGAAAAAAGTCCTTTCGATTTTCAGTGGTACATACCTAGAGGTTAATTGATAGTTAATAGTTGTTCAAAATTTGGAGCATAATAAAAAATTATATTTTCTAACAACGTATGTTGCTTTCAGTAACATATTATGATTTAAGAAACATATTAAATACAAAGTCGCTTGTAATTCTATTTCATATAAAAATTAATATATACTATATACTTGTGTAAATAATTTGTTATTTCTCCTTTTGTTTGTTTTACCATCTCTTTCATTTCCTAATTAATTGTACAGAAAAAAAAATCACACTAGTGGTATATTGCGTTTAGTAAATTCAATGGCGTACATTCAAACTTACCTTGGGGGAAGGGTAACAAAATATATCGATATTTTTTTTTTCGTTGCAAAGATAAATAACTGCTATAAATAGATACATATTTTATAGAACTTTTTAAACCAGCGGTTCCCAAACTGTGCACCGCGGTCTATGGTTCATAACAAATAATTTAAAATGTATAAAATTGTTTTTCCTTATTGTTTTCGTAAAAACTTTATAACAAATAATGTAATATTTTCTTTTGTATATTCGGATACTCTCATTTTAACCTTATAATATTTTTATATAACAATTATAATCATAATAATAATAATTTTTATTTATTTATTTTTTAAGTTTAACAATTCATCAATTTATACTTGAGTTATATTTTAATAAAATTTATAAAATTGATTATCAGATTTTTTTTTTCTGTCTAAAATGTTATTCACAGCTGGGCACCGTGACTAAATTTAGTCCTGTAGTATTAGGCAATTTAGATTCATGTCAAATGAAATATTAAAATAACTAAAATATACGCGTATTCATGTTGTAATAGAAAAATAGCCTATCATAACATTTTATTGTATAAAAATATAAATGTAAAACAACATTTTTTATACTACGTTCAAATTAGTATGTATTATTTTCACACTTTCATTAGTTTACGAAATATACCACACTAGATGATGATTATAATATAAAATATGAGGGCATTGCAAATTTACAAATTAGCGTGTAAGCAATATGTGTAATTAGATTAAGCTAAATATATATAAGAGAGAAGACAAAAACCAATAAAGGAGTTCTTCTATAGTGGTCGTGTGACTCGGCTACGATAGGAAGCTTGTTAACTTTTTTTTTTTAAGTGTTGCCTTAATTTCTATATGTATTTTTTGGTGTCTATATGCACAAGTCAATCGGCATATACGACAGTCCAAAAAAAGGCACCCACCGTGGAAATAAAAGTTTGGGAACCGCTGCTTAACAGTCTATTAAGTCAAAATGTCAAATAACTCATTTACTTCTCACTCTTTAGCCATCCTTATGTGGAATGCCAATGGATATACAAATCATAGAAATTAACTTATATTAACACTAACTGAAAAAAGAATAGACTTAATCTCTGAAACACATTTTACTACAAATACTAAATTTTCAATACCTGGTTATAATATAATCACCTCAAACCATCCAGATAACACCTCCCACGCTGGTGCCGCAATTATTATAAAATCCTCATTACTATATACCACCTTTCCTAATATACAAGAAAACTACCTGCAAGCTGCCATTTTGTCAATTAAATTAAATCACATTCCAATTACTATTGCTGCAACATACTGTCCACCCAAACACAAAATTACGCCACAACAGTACGAAAACTTTTTTAACTATTTAGGTCACTATTTTATATTCGGTGGTGACCTAAATGTCAAAAATCAATCCTGAGGCTGCCACACGTCTAACCCAAAAGGACGTACTTTACTCCAAATAGTTAATCGAAAAAATTATACCATATTAGCTCCCCCCGATCCAACTTACTGGCCAACGTCTATAAATAAACGCCCAGATATCTTAGACATATTTGTAGTAAATATCCCTACGAGATTACAAAATGTCATAAATAACTATTTAAAACTATGTTCAGACCATACTTCAGTCCTTCTATCTCTAGATGCTCAACCTCCCCTACGGTCTCGACAAGCTAGCCTTACGGATGGTATTACAGACTGGAATAAATTCCGTGAAATAATTGAACAGAAAATCAACCTAAAAACCCGACTTAAGTGTCCAAACGAACTTGAAAACGCTGTTCAACAGTTTACGGATATAATCCAAACAGCTGCTTGGAGTTCCACTGTTAAAAAACCGTGGAAAGCCCAAAACTCTTTCCCAATTCCTACTTATGTCCGTGAATTCATAGCAAAAAAAACGACGAGCCAGATCCCTTTGGCAACGCAACCGCCTCCCGTCTGATAAACAATCATTCAACAACCTTGCTTCTTCGCTCAAACGTATTTTAAAACAACTAAGAAATGATAATTTCAGTTCTTGGGTCTCTTCGCTTACATCGTAAAATTGTTCTCTGTGGAGAGCAACTCGTAGTTGTTTGAAACAAAAAACCACAAATTCCCCCCATAAAAAGATTAGATAATACTTGGTGCAAAACTGATGCAGAAAAGTGTGAACATTTTCGATCTCATTTGCTTCAAGTATTCCAACCCCATAATATTGTCAATAATGTATTTAAAGATCATATTGTGAACTTTCTTACTACCCCATTTCCACTTTATCTAGCACCGAAACCTATTTCGCCGAGTGAAATTCATTACTACTTAAAACTATTCCGCCCCAAAAAATCTCCCGGTTTGGACTTAATTACGTCAGAAGTAGCTCTGCAGCTACCCAAAAAAGCAATTATACACCTCACGCATATTTTAAACGCAATCATAAGACTATCCCATTTTCCTCTTCAATGGAAAACCGCTGTTATCATCCTAATTCTAAAACCAGGTAAAACTCCTGATACTCCGTGTTCATATCGACCGATAACTTTTCTACCTCTCTTCGGTAAACTTTGTGAAAAGTTAGTATTAAAACGGATTTCTCCTTTTATAAATAACGTATCAGTTATACCACAAACTCAATTTGGTTTTCGTGAACGACACTCAACCATTCACCAAATACACAGACTGACTGACTGCATATCTAGTTCCTTAGAAAAAAAATAATATTGCACAGCAGTCTTCCTTGATATAGCCCAGGCATTCGACAAAGTGTGGCATCCTGGTCTGTTGTATAAATTAAAAAAAAATTTACCTCTACCTTACTACCTATTTTACAAATCTTATCTTGAAGACCGTTATTTTGTGACCAAAATTGGATCAGAAATGTCGTCCTTAGCCCGAATATCTGCAGGGGTCCCACAAGGAGCCGTTTCATCTCCTACCCTTTACAACCTGTACTCAGCTGATCAACCGACAACCCCTTACACTTCAGTTGCAGATTTTGCCGATGATAAAATTATTTATTCCACACACAAAGATCCAATAATTGCTGGCATGAATCTACAAAACCACCTAGACCTCATGTCTTCTTGGTACGACAAGTGGAAAATAAAAATAAATCACGAAAAATCTACCCATCTAACTTTTACATTAAAACATGGTACTGTACCACCTATACATTTAAACAACCAAAATATTCCAAAATCCTCGAGCTCTCGTTATTTGGGCTTATTTCTAGATCAACGATTAACTTGGGCAGACCACATAAAAAAGAAAAAAATCTTCTTAAACTCTAGACGAAAATCGCTACAATTCTTACTCGGTAAACATTCTAAACTTAATATAAAAACAAAATTACTCCTATATAAAACTTTATTAATGCCCATTTGGATATACGGGATCCAATTATGGGGCGCAGCTAAAAAATCAAACACAAACAAAATTCAAATTTTCCAATCCACAACACTCCGTTTAATCACATATGACCCATTTTACGTTTCTAATCACACCCTCCATACAGATTTAAAAATGAATGCGATAGAAGAAACTGCCAAAATTTTTTATAAACGTTTCCGCTCCCGACTGTCAAACCACTCCAATCCATTCATCTCTGCTCTAGATTCCGACACCATTCCTGGTAACCCTCTTCGTCGACTGAAAAGAAAATGGTGTAGAGACTTAAATATCAATTAGCTAAATATATAAAGGTAAATTTAAATTCAACCTAATCATGTCATAAAGTGTCGCCATTAGGTGGCTGCTTTTATCATGTTATGTCAAGCTATAATACATATTACCGCATGTGTACTTATTGTAATAATTTATTTACAGATTGTACGCCTTAAAATATAAAAATATAAAAAAAAAAAAAGTTTACCAAAAAATTAGGTTAGATGTTTTGCTAATACCAGTGGCGCCGAAGTCCATGTTTATGTATGGCAGCTGCCATATATATAAACATTTGAGGGGGGGGGGTCCAGAGGAAAATAAAATGATGACAATTAATAGAAATAGGATCACAAATTATTAAGTAGTATTGCCCACTGCGAGTATTTGGTATTACATATACATTATTTCGTTGATCAATTAACACCAAATAGTTCATAAAAATACGATCATTACTGATTAGTAAGAACAGTAACAACTAATGGCGCATTTTGGATAGAACAAAAATAAAAATAAAAACCATCAACCAAAATAGACATTCGCCGACTGGCGACCACCCACTCCACTAACATACGTATATTACATTATTAGCGTCTATTATGTTATCAAAAATGCAACATTTAGTCCATTATAGTGTTTATAAATAGCTAAAAAATTCCTATAAATTATGATACACTATCGTTGAAAATCAACTGTACCTTCAGTTTAGTGTAATAACTAATAAGCCAGCTATAATTCAAAAAGACTGTGACATATATTTATATTATTTAATTGGTTTTATTATTTAACTTTTAAGAATTTTTAATTTTTAACCACTACTATTTAAAGTTAAAAATTATAATTGTCTAAGAATATTAAGTACAAATCAACCTTATAAAGTAATTTATTTAATACCAAAAACTATGAGTTCTGTTTGCAAATTTGATTGCGGGAAATTAAGTTCATCAATGAACGATAACAATTGGAATAGACATATTAACTCATGTAAAGTACGAAAATTTAAAAGAAACTCGCATGATATAAAATCGTTTTTTTCTGGAAACAAGAATAAAAAAAGCAAATTGATTCACCAAATTACTGCTGTAAAAAATAGTAAGTACCTACTTAATTTATTTAAATGTTTTATTTTGTTTTAAAATAAAAATACAGATATATTATAAATATGCATTATTTTAAATAATT